CCCTGGGGCCGTGCGCTCTCTCCCCAGCCCCGCTCTGCGCTGCCCCTGCGGCGGGGCTGGGCTGAGCGGGGGGCACAGCCTCAGTCGGTGCCCTGAAATAACAGGGGCCGTGAGCCCCTGCAGCGCTCCTGCACTGTGGGGTTGCTGGGTGCAGCTCGCCCCATGGGAGCCTTTGCTTGGCCCACAACGGGCTGTGGAAGGAGGTGCTGCCTGTGCTGATCCCGAATTTCCTTGTAGTTGGAGCGTCAGTCTCCAACCCCCATGGAAACATCTGGATGTGCCCCTTCAGAAGACATGCTGTGTCAGGCTTTTTCTGATGTCTTGCTTGATGTGGAAGATGTAGATGTGGAAGATGGTGCTGACCCAAACCTCTGCAGCGACTATGTGAAGGACATCTACAAGTACCTGAGAGACCTTGAGGTTGGTAGGAGTAGGTCAGACCTGCAAGGGGCCTTTGTTGATGCTTAGAGTGAACTTGTCATTATAGGCGTGGCTTGGAGCTGGTATTCACTTTCACCTATGAATTTTCCTGATGCTCTAATAGCCTAAGTCTAAATCTTCCTAGGGGGCACTAAAAAGTGATCCCTCAACTTAAAATACAAGACTAAACTGAGCTGATAACATAAACAGATGGTGGTTGTTAGACCAATCAACTAGTAGTACTAGTACCATGCTCTTTCTAGCCCACTTCTAGTAAACAAAGAAACCTTGTGCCCTGTGGCCTACACCTATGGGCCATGCCTACACTGAGCTCCTTGATAGGCCTTAAGATGCAAGAGAGGCTGAGCGTTGCAAATGCTTCAGCTAAGTGACTAGATCTATTAGCTCTATTCCTTCCACACAGGAGAATCAACCTGTCAGACCCAAATACCTGGCCGGCCAGGAAATCAGTGGGAACATGCGTGCCATACTAATAGACTGGCTTGTGCAAGTACAGGTAAAATTCAGACTCCAGCAGGAGACCTTGTACATGGCAGTTGCTATCATCGACCGCTTCCTGCAGGTGAGTGTCTCTTGCCCAGTGTCAGGCAGCGCTTTTCCCCTAAGCTAAAGCACAACGAGCACTATCAATAACACCATACATGGTTAGACATGTTACCCTTAACAAAATACAGTTGACCAACAAAAGGCATTTGGTGTTGAATTGTATGCACCACATAACTCTCTCAGCCATGAACAGTGACTTGATATACCAAAACTGCTTACTCCTCTCCCTGATTCGATCTCAAAGTCTTCTAATACCCCTGCAGATGCCAGAAGAGGTAACAGATGATGTACGGTTATTCTGTATATGCCAGTATGAACGTCCTGCCATAGAACAAATCTTAGGTTGGCTACCTTGAGAAGCTGTGTTCTGAGCCAAGTCATTCGGGTAAATCTCTACTGCTTCTTACTACAGGACAATGCTGTTTCCAAGAAGATGTTGCAGCTGGTTGGTGTCACAGCTATGTTCATTGCCAGCAAATACGAAGAGATGTTTCCCCCACATATTGGAGACTTTGCCTATGTAACTGATAACACTTACACAAAGTTCCAAATCTGCCAGATGGAGATGAAGATCCTGCGAGCCCTGGATTTTGGTCTGGGTCGCCCTCTCCCACCACACTTCCTGAGGAGGGCTTCAAAGATTGCAGAGGTAACGCTGAGAACAGGTGTTACTGTAAGCAGCACCTGGAAAATGCAATACTTGACTGTGGCAGTTTGTTAAAATAGTTCAAAACTTTTGAGTACTGCAACAGTTTAGCATCTGAGCCTGGCTGAGACCTGTCTCCTGTGTAGAAACAGGTCTTGTTTGTCTGCTTTCAGTCACATGAGCCTAACCCACCCAAAACCAGTGTTAAAATGCCTGCTTGGCACCGCAGGTGACTGCTAGACTGCCATTGAAAGGCGTGGTCCTAGACTATGAGCAGCCTAATACAGCTCAGAACTGGTCTGTGATTATGCCACTTGAATTTCAAACCTATAGCTCTGAAAACGTTCGTGAAGGAAGTATTTCTTCCTGCTTGACTAAACAAAGGCTTAACAGGATGTTCTTGCCTTGGAGATAGCCAATACTCAACTCTGATTTACTGCAGGTGGACTTCGAACAGCATGTTCTGGCCAAGTACCTGATGGAGTTGTCCATTGTGGACTACGATATGGTTCACTTCCCTCCATCCAAAACTGCAGCGGCTGCTTCCTGTTTGGCTCTGAAACTCCTCGATGGATGCGAGTGGGTAAGTCATGCTTGTCAGACCGCCTCCTAGTTGGGGGCTTGGTGTGCCTGTGCACCAGCTTAAAAGGCCACTCTGGACCCAGTGCATGCCTTTGGCTTCCCTCGTGGTAACTCGGCATGTTCTTGTCTCCCCGAGGTCCATTACAAGGGGACAGAAGCAGGGCAGTAATTGTTAACCCTCCCCTGTGAGACAGGAGACCGCAATTGCCCAAGTCCATCAGAAGACAAAGAACCCAGTGTATTCAGATTGTGCTAGCAGGCTTTGTCTAATGACTTCCCTTCCTTTCAGACACCAACTCTACAACACTACATGTCTTACACTGAGAGTGACCTTCTCCCAGTTATGCAGCACATAGCAAAGAACATAATTCTTGTGAATGAGGGCTTTACCAAGCATGTGGTAAGAATCTCACGGTGCAGGTGGGGAGTATGTGTGGTTAAGAGTCAATATGTGGCCCTCTAATGCTGGCTTAGCTGAGCCACTGCTGTCAAACTTGCATCAGACCTGCTCACTTCAGCTGAAGACTCCATCTTGCCAAAGTGGCATGAGCCAGCCATAAAGTGGTCTTGTGTGCTAGGGTGGGCTTGGCTTGATCACCAAGCCTCACGCAAGCTGGAATAGTGTAGGTTTATGAACAAAGTAAACTTAAATAACTTCTCTCTCTGCAGGCAATCAAGAACAAATATGCCAGCAGCAAAAATGCCAAGATAAGTGCCATTGAACAGCTGGACTCTTCTATAGTATGGAATCTAGCCCAACCTCTGATTAAAAAGTCGTAACTCCTACATGAACCCAAGCAAAACGTTGGCACTATGTGCCCCGGTGTATATAATGTATCTTATTTGTGTATCTTACTTAGGGCTTTTAATAAAGCGCTTCTGCCTTTTATTGTATTCTTGTGGTAGCACAGCTGACTTCCTCCTACAGCGAATTATCTCCGTGGAGGCTGTGGACAGGGAGAGGTGTTAGGTGAGCTCTGGGGCTAGCCCGGGTGGGGCTGCTGGTCCTCCAGGCTGAGTGCTGGCACAGGCTCTGCCAGATTCATCAGAGTGCAGCTCTGCTGACTTAATATTTATTTATTGTTGTGTATTTTTTTTGTTAGTATCAGCTCTACCCACAGGAGAATAGTGGTTGGAGAGCTGTATCTGCCTTCACTTAGAAGTGGTAATTGCTCTTTGCTGTCCTGGTTCTGGCTGGGACAGAGTTAACTTTCATCCCAGCAGCTGGGGTGTGCTGTGTTTTGGTTCGGTACAGAGGAGCGTTGATGGCCCATTGATGCTTTGGTTGTGGCTGGGTGGTGCGGACTTTTCGGCCTCCCATGCTCTGCCAGGTGCAGGGGAACCTGGCAGGGGGGAGCATAGCTGGGGCAGCTGATCCAGCTGGCCAGTGGGGTATTCTATGCCACGTGACTGCTCAATATATAATTTGGAGGTGTGGTCCAGGAAAAGGGGGGCTAAGGCGGTTGGGACACGTGGGGTGTGGGTCGGCGGGTGGCGAGCAGTTGCGTTGTGCGTCGCCTGCTTTCTGTATTCTATTGCTGTTACC